TGTGCTAGACTTGATATATCTATCATTACATGATACGTAGTACTCTTGTTTGGAAATGTTCTTTCTATTACGCGTTATAAGAGTTGATTGACTTTAATTTTAATTCAATTTATTTGATTGTGGATATAAAATTAAAAAATAAAATTTACTTATTTTAAAACTAAATTAAAATTTCTACAAAATGAGAAGTGACATAGAATATTATATTATGAAATGAGTGATGAAAATTATAAAATAAAATAAAAAAAGTTCGACTATAAAAATAGTGAACTATAAGAAACATTTTTAGACGAATGATGTATAAAAGACTTTTAAAAAGACTATTTTAGTCGACATACTCACATAGTCTATTGTGCAATCAACAACAACAACCCAGTTAAATCTCACAAGAGGGTCTGGGGAGAGTGTGTGTACGCAGACCTTACGCCTACTCAAAAGTAGAGAGACTGTTTCCAAAGAGACTCTCGGCTCAACGTCGAAAGTTGTATTGCTTGACTAACTGCTACTTCATTAATTAAAGAAGCGCAGACAGTTTAGAGATCCATTTTAATTTATTCCATCACACTCCAAAGCCAAAAAATGATGAAATTTTGGCTCTATAGTAAATTTTGTGCAATCATTACCAATAAGTCAATTATTCTCCATGCTTCGTTGCATTATTGAGAATTATGTTTTCTATGCTTGTTTTTGCTCTTTGGAGAATGACTTCTAAGAGCATTTCCAATTATCCAATTTTGGCTTGCTAAAAGCTATGATATAGCAAGCCAATCATTTTTTTCATCTCCAATGGTTGTGTTATATTATAGCAAGCTTGCTAAATATAACAAGTTTTCCAAAATATAGCAAGTTAGAAGTTATAAAATGGATTAGCAACTTATGGTTGGAAAATGAAACAAAAAGTTGCTTGCTATATCACTATTCACTTGCTAAAATATAAAATTAGCAAGCCAATATATTAAGCATGGTTGGAGATGCTCTAAGAACTAGTTTATAATGAGTGATTCCATAAGTCCATGACACCATTTCCAATTAGAATATCAATTAACCAATAGTATTATTATATGAAGAAAATTTGCAATCATTTTTATTTAGTATCATAAATCCATAGTCCTTGTTTGGAAATATAGTTGTCACCTACTAATTGTTGGATGTTTATATCATTATTTTGAAATTATTCCGAATGACATATTAGTTTAACTATTTAGACCAACTGGATGTGTTAATTTATCGTTAAAAAATGATAGGTTAATAGCTATTTGTAAAGACTATGTAGCTGTTTTGGAATTTTATATACATATACACACACACATATACATACATACATACATGCATGCATGCACACACACACACACACACATATATACATATAAATAATTTACTTTCTTTATCATAGATCTTCTCGTTAGTCTTTTTTATGTCTTTCAATTCATATATCTTCTCACTGCCTTTTTAACATTTAAAATAGTAAAATACTACAATTACACCACTTACTTTATGATATGTTTGGGAACATGAATTTGGATTTCAAATCCGGATTCGACTCCAATTCCATGTTTGGAAAATTTAAAAATTTTGAATTTGGATTTGAGTCAAATTCTTCTCATTCATAACAAAGCTTAATTTGAAATTCATACACCTCCCCTTGTCATTTGAAATTCAAGATTTCAAATTTTGGAATTGAAATAAAATGCTAGTTGCCAAACACTACCTTATTTATTACACCTCATTTAATATAATCCAGGCCCCGTTTGGCATCAGTTTTAGAGATTAGCGTTAGCGTTTTCAAAAAGCTATCCGACGGTAGCCTTTAGCGTTAGCGTTTTTAGATTTAATCTACACCATTAAAATTTTATCCAAAACGCTAACGCTAATCGAAAACGCTGTTACCAAACGAAGCCCCACTCAATTTCGTTAAGGGTGTTCGGGTAAATTTTTATATTTTTCAACTCTTTTTAAAAACAAAGAAAATCAAACTGAGAAGATCCTAAGGAGGACAAATGGAATAATTGTAATCTTTACTCAAAAGAAGTTATCATCTCAATGGAATCTTTTTTTATTTATCATTTGAATAGAATTATTATTTATTGTTGTAAGACTAAGAGCAAAAAAAATTTATCCCTTTATTTTTATTATTTATTTGATAAAATAATACAATTATGTAACATCTTGTTTTGTGAAATTTTTAATGTTTTTTAATATGAAACTTTTATTGTTTAATTCAACTTCAATTCTCAAATAAATTATATTAAAATTAAAATATCATAAATCAATATAAACAATTTAAGTAAGGACAGAGAAAATAATGCTCCCTCCATCCCCAATTTGATTACAAATTGCGGGTTACGGAGTAAAATTTTCTACTTTTTAAAATCATTTTATTTACAAATTGGTATATCAATAAACTATAAAAATTACATATTAAAAAACTACGTCAAAAGATCTACAAAACAAGAGGTGACAAAAATATTTTATTTAATCAAATACTTAATGAAATCGCGTAAACAAACAAAAATTATCAAGGGAAGAGAAAAAAAAAATGTAATCTTCTTAGAGACGGAGGGAGTATATTACACTAATACTATCTCCGTCGAAAAATAAACTTCTCGTTGCGTGTTACGATATTTTATTGAAATTATTTTCAAATCATTTTATATGAAAAATGATGTAGAATTTTAAAATAAAAATAACATATTAAAAAATCATATTAAAAGATATACAAAAGTAGAGGTGACATTACTATATTATTTTATCAACGGCCCAGTTCCATGGTCACTGGAATCCAGTGGCCACAGAAGCCACTGCCCCCCTACGAAACTCCGTTCATAAAATTAATGATTCCCACCCCCCTAACGCCCCCAGTAAACTCCCCCGCTAAGTCCCGACCCAAACTCATCACCCCACCTACGTCAATTGCACCCCGTAAGCATAAAGTCAAAACTTTTGACTTTAAAGTCAATTATGCTTACGAGGTGCAATTGACGTAGGTGGGGTGATGAGTTTGGGTCGGGACTTGGCGGGGGGTTTACCGGGAGGGTTAGAGGGGGTAGCAATCATCAATTTTATGAACAGAGTTTCGTAGGGGGGCAGTGGCTTCCGTGGCCACTGGATTCAAGTGGCCATGGAACCGGGCCGTTTTATCAAATGTGTGACAAAAATAGACCAACAAAGTAAATAAAATTTGACATCGTAAATAGTGAACGGATAGTTTATTTGTGAAGGTACATACTCTATACTCATTTTGAGCACACAAAAAAGGAAAAATTATCTCAAATAATCTCACCTTTTCGCGTTCTTTCAACAATAATCCTATTTTTCACTGTCACCGGAAATAATCCCACCTTTTCACATGTGTGCGAGTTTTGGGTCACCGTTAAAAAACTAACGGCCACTTAACGGAAGTTTTTGAAAATGCCTATTTTTTGCAAATAAATGAAAGGTGGGATTATTTTAGAAAAAATTACTTTTTACTTTTTTAGTGTTGAATTTTAAATTAATATTTTTAAAAATATAACAATACTGAGAACAATCTCTAAACAGATTGCTAATTGTTTAAAACAATTAACAAAACCCTTTTATATCATAACTTAATAGTTTTTATTAAGTCTCATAGCTAGTTCTTTCTTTAATGTTATTTTTTTAACATCACTAAATATTTTAAATACCCAAGGCAAAGCCTCTTTTTTTATTTGTGTCATTTTCACAACTTTTGAATTACTCCCTCCGTCCCTCTAAGATGTTCTCATTTTAACTTTTGGTGGTTTTTTAGGAGAGTTGAAAAAAGGTGAAAGTTTACCATAATACCCTTAATGAAAAATGGGTGGAGTGTATTAATTGAGGTGGGTGAGGTGTAATAAATAAAGTAAGTTCCATTTTAGAAAGAAAATTTTATTGCAATATAAGATTATCAATAAATATTTCAGAGTGTTCATGGAAAAATTGCAATACATCATAAAATGTAGTGAGTTATAAAAATAAAAGTTCTATTTTAGAGAAAAAAAATTGTTGTGTTATTTTCACAACTATTGTAATGTTGTTTCACAAACAATATTTATATAGAACTATCGAAAAAATATCCATAAGTTTGTAGTGCCATTTTTTAAGAAATAATAATAATGTAGTATCAAAAAATAATTTGAAGTGCAGCTCAAGAAAAATACAGTAAAAATAATAAATGCAACTTACAAAAAAATGTACTTACTCCGTTATCAAAAACACTTCCTCTTTTATTTTTTTCCCTTCCAACAAAACACTTCCACTTTCTATTAAAAAACCACTTTTACTCTTACTTTTTCATACCCTACCTATCACATCATACTTTATCTCTAATAATCTATCCATCATATCTTACTTTTACCTATCACATCAAGGGCAAAATTGGAAGTCAACTACAATTTAATACTTCCTTATTTTTACACAAAGTCAAAAGAGGAACACTTTTTCCAAACGGATGCAGTAGTTAGTTATGAAGTTAATAAATTAACTCTATTGTGTAGAATAATTTATTTTCTAATTATTACCATATTATTGTTTATTGAAAAAACAATTAGTTTCACTATAAAAACACTTATATTTGATATTTTTTCCAAAAAAATAAAATAAAAATACATTTAAAGAAATTAAAAAACGAAAAAGGGAGAATTTACTTAAAATAATCTCACCTTTCATTTATTTGCAAAAAACGGGCATTTTTCAAAATTTTCGTTAATTGACCGTTAGTTTTTTAACGGCGACCCAAATCTCGCACATATGCGGGAAGGTGGCATTAAAGTGGGATTATTTTTGAAAGAGTACTAAATTGTGGGATTATTTGAGATAATTTTTGTAAAAAAAAAAAAAAAAAAAAGAGTTATTCATGCAGAATGAGTGGCGAGGGAATCAAGATTTTTATTTTGATATTAGTGGCGAGGGGATCAAGATTCTTATGAAACAATCCCAGATTCTTGAAATTTGAAATAGATCGGATATGATCCGAATCCTGGGTGCACTTATAAAACGCCCATCTTAATTTTCTCGGCTTTAATTACTTACTTCCATCATCATCTCTTTGATCCTTCCCTCTTGAATTCTTTACAAGTTCAATGGCGGATTCTTGCTCACACTGGTGGCACGCTCCCTTCTACGTTACCCTTTCCATAGCTCTGGCCTTCGTTGCCATCTCCACCGGAATCCACCGCTCCGGCGGACCTGAACCCACTCCGGTGCTGTCACTTCTTGTTCATAACGAATCCTCCTTCAACGCTTCCGTCGCCCTCCGCCGCCGCGGCGGCTTCACCGTCTTCGCCGCCCTCCTCCAGATCTCGCCGGACCTCTTCCTCTCCCCTCCGGATTCCACCGTCTTCGCCGTCCACGACTCCGCCTTCTCCAACCTCTCCCTCCCTTCCTGGGCCATCAAGCACCTCCTCCTCTACCACACCTCCCCTGCGTCGCTGCCGTTCCGATCTCTTCTCCGGCACTCTCCGGCGACCTGCCTCTCCACCCTTCTCCGCGATCGGGCCGTGAAGATCACCAAGATCGACCAAGAAAACGGCGGCGTCGAGATCAACAACGTTTCAATCACCGACCCGGATCTGTTTCTCGGACCCCACCTCTCCGTTCACGGAGTCGCCGGATTCTTCTCGCCGGTGAAACTCCAAGGTTCCGACCGGAGGGAAGAAATAATCGAATCTCCGTCCTGCGATTCCGACGACCCGGAGATCCAATGGCCAAGAATCGTCCAGTCGCTGAGCTATAATGGGTTCGTCTCTTTCGCGATAGGGCTCCACTCCGTTCTTGATTCCATCCCCATTAACATGAGCTCCGTCACCATCTTCGCCCCCCCGAGCTTCGGGTTCTTGGATTCCCCGTCTCCATTGTTGGATAGAGTGGTGAAGCTCCACTTACTGCCTCGGATCTACAGTTTTGAGGAACTGTCATCCCTGCCAAACGGATCTGTTCTTGAGACACTGCTTCCAGGTGCAGAAATCAAGATCGGTGTTGATGATTCCACAAGAAGCTTGGCTGTCAATGGAGTTGAGATCACTGCTCCTGATGTTTTGAGATCCAGGAATTTCACGGTTCATGGGATTTCTAGAGCTCTGGGCGTGTTTAACCATGTTCTTGATCAGATTGCTTAGTTCTGGAGCTCTGTGATTTTTGCCATGGGGAGAGAAGAAACCAGTTCCTGGAATTTTGGGTTTTTGTATAGCTTTTTTTTTGGATGTTGTGATGATGTGAAAACTTGGTTTGGAATCCTCATTCTGTTGTACATAAAGATTTTAAAAAATGCTAGGGTACCAAAGATCAATGTACCCCATTTGTCTCTCACTCCCTCCATTATCACAAAAATGGGGAAGAAATTAAAAAAAATTAAATAAATAAAAATGGTGTTAAAATGAGTAGTAGAGAAAGGGGTGAGGAACAAATGGGGTAATGTACCCCTAGCATGGCTCAAAGATTTTTCCTTTTCTTTTTTGAATAGAATAATTTTGATACTATTTGATTTGATCCAATCTGAATTTAGTTATGTTTAAGATTATTTCTGATCTAAAATGAAATGATTCTAATAAGAAACATCAATAATAATAAGTTGAAGATCAAAACTTAATACAATTAGATCAAAACTAATTAAATAAGTACTTTGTAGAAGAGAACATGCTCTAAGCTTGGAGCTAGGGTTGAGCAAGTACCGAACCGATACCGAAAATTCTTAAAAAAACCTAAAAAGCCGAATAAAAAAATACTGCTAAAATATCGAATCGTACCGAACCAAATAAATTCGGTTCGGTATTTGGGAACGGTAAGAAGTAACTTCGAATACCGAAAACTCGAAGCAATTTTGACTTGGACTTCTGGAAGTATCAGTTTGGACATTTTTAAAACATTAAACTTAAACGTCGAATCTCCTGCCATTTAAAATTTTTAATCGCCGATTTGTGAGATTTTCTAAACCACAAATGCTCCAACGAGTGTAGATCTCAAATGCCAACAACCTCAAAAACTAGGAGCGAATACTTCTTGAAACTAATTGTTCCAGATTTTTTAATGGAGGAATGTGGTCTTCTATAGACTGTATGACCCTGTCTCTATATAGGTTGTTCGATTATCCAGAAATATCTAAGGTTCCATTGTGTGAGTTTTATAAAATATGATCTGATATCAGTTTTGAAATTCGAGACAAATAATACAGTGTTATGAAATCTCAGGGTCCGTTTGGATATACGGAATTGACGGAATTGGAATTGAAATTCCATTAAATTAAATTTCAAAGAATTGAATTCTAGCAATTCGAATTCATTTTTTACACTATCCATTCGAAACCCACGTACTAATTTTTATGCTATTCATAATTTAAATTGGGTGTACCAAATGGGGCCTAAATTAATTTGTTTAAAAAGATTTGAAATATAAGTGCCCGTGATCGTCAACAAGGTGATTGGAGATGACGGTGGTGGGCGGAAGAGCGGTGATGGAGAACGGAATGATATCAGTCGACCGGTGGGCGATCGGAAGTCAGGCCTACTTCCTCACCCACCTCCACGCCGACCACACTCAGGGCCTCTCTCCGTCGTGGCGTCGTGGCCCACTCTTCTGCTCCCGCGTCTCCGCCAAGCTCTTCCCTTCCAAGTTCCCCGGCTTCGACCTCTCCCTCCTCCGCGTCGTCGACATCGGACGGTGGCACTCACTCTCAATTGCCTCCCCGTCCTCCGACTCCGCCTCCACGGTTCACTTCTTGGCCGTCGACGCTTATCACTGCCCGGGTATGCAGCCTATCACTGTATTTGCCTAACCCCTTTATTGCCCACAAAGTGTTCGACGTTTTGGCTCCGTCAAAACTCAAAACCCGTGAAATATTGGCAGTTAAGTCTGGGATTTGGTTGAAAAAAGCCAAAAAGGTGCTGTTAATTAGATTTTCTTTCTAGAGATGTTGGATTTCTTTTAATTTTGTTATTTGCATGATATAAATACCATAAATCCACTGAAATCGATCGTAGCCGAGTAAGAAGACTCTGAAATTCTGCTTGCAGCATCTTAATGTTTGCAATGAGTGGAGGAGAGATCATCATTCATACACTGGAGTATTTATTTACATTTACAAACTTGAAGTTGAATCCAATCATTGAATTATATTGTTTTATTGTAGTAAATAGAATTTATCCACATGCTTGAAATACAACAGTTTAGTGACCTTCTCCCTCTGCCCGGATTTTAGTTGTCATTTTTCTTGTTTTCGTTTATACGAAATTATGTCCACTTTCCAAACCCACTTAAATTGTTTTTTTTTGATGAATTGTCTAAAATATGCTAGATGTAATATGTCAGAATTGCTCGCATGAATGGCTGACAAATTCACTCGAAAGGCTTGTTGACTATTTAAACATGTTTCTTAAAAATGAGATTTTTTAGAAAATGGACAACTAAATCCGGACAGAGGGGCTATTTTTTGCTTTCTCAACAGAAGTTCAGCTCTTTTCCCTAGGGTTATAAGGTATTTACTAGCCTAGACTCCTAATTCTTGCAACCCTTTTGTCTTGGTCAGGAGCAGTCATGTATCTGTTTCGTGGTGAATTTGGATACATGCTTTACACGGGTGATTTTCGCTGGGAAGCAATGAGCGATAGAGCACTTATAGGAAGGGCAATGTTACTTAATGCTCTGAAGGATGTAAACCTTGATTACCTGTACTTAGATAATACCTATTGTAATCCAGCATATGCCTTTCCTTCCCGTGAGGTGGCTGCTAAGCAGGTGCATTCTCTTTTCTCATCTACGCCGTGTTACCTTTGTAAAAGCAGAGAGACGGTTTTCGTTAAACCCTAGATGCATTTATACCCAAACCTTCATAGAAACTTTTACCCCGAATTAGATAAATGCTTGAATTGGGTGTCTATCCAAACGAGCCTCCTTGCATTCTCTACTGTTACTGGAATGTCATTTCACTCTGAGAATAGTTATATTTTGATTTTGTGTAAAATGCTTGCATGTTTTCTGTTTGGTTACAGATTGTGAATATCATTGAATCTCATCCAAAGCATGACATTGTCATTGCTATTGACTCTCTGGGGAAGGAAAACCTTTTGGCATACATATCCCGTGTACTTAATATAAAGGTAAGCAATGACTTAAACTTATTTTACAAGAGGGCTGGTGTCATATTATGACATCAGTTCATTTGAGGACCCTATGGTGCTCAAATTGACTTTGGAATAGTTCTT